CAGCGACACATGGACTTTTATATATAAATATATAAAAGGCAAATATCCGTCAGTTTCACTATCAGTAGGATCAAAACTTAAGTCAAACTCGTGAAATTCGAAGATTCCCATTTTACTTTGATTCCATCACGGCGACCGCTTGACTAAATCAGGGCGCAGTTCTCTGAATCGACGTGTTGATAGAAGTCTACCTTTATACCATTCCGACTTATAATGTTGAACCTTAACGAAAAGTTACCGTGAACAACCTGTGAAGATTTCGTGAAATCTAATTATGAGCGAATTCAAAATTTGAAGTGTGATAATTAAATGTACAAAAAGTTTTCTCTGTATATAAACATTTTGGATTGATTAACGTTAACATAATAAATGAAGCATCTACACAGACAGAAAACAAGAAAAAAGCAAATAATAACTTTGAAACGTACCTAAATCCTCTGCGTTTATCACAATCATGGTCGATATAGTGCCGATGAGCCAGACAATAATTCTGATGGCATCGATCGCATATTATTGACATTGCCTGTAAATCAGAAACTTAAATATCTAACAAGCATTAAGTTTGTCTGAACTTTACTGCTTCAATAGAATCGCACAGACTATCAGTTTTCACTACAGTGGCATGTAAAACAGCCCAACGAAAATTACACAAAACAAATAAAGAGCAGCAAGCAAAAGCAAGCATTAAGAGATTAAAAGGACAGTGGCCCCAGTGCTTCCGCTCGCGTTTGTAGTCACACTGCCCTCTTCCTAGACTGAACTTCAACAGAAAACAGCTTTTTTCTCCTCTCTGGATATTACTGTCATTTACGACATGCATTTCAGAGATGCGGCCAAGTCCTCATGGTTATCGTGGCGGCTCAACAGTGCACGGTCACATATTTCGAACTGTCATGCGATTCCTGCGTGTATTGTAACCCTCTTTGCACGACGAGGTCTGATTATGGCAGCACATTACCGATGCTGATGCAATAAGTAGATAATTATGTCACCATGGCCCAGAATTATCGAAACAATTCAAACATCACTCGTAAATTCCGTTTTGGTTGGTTATAATGTTAAGTCACAAATAGAGTAACAGCTTTGGGTTGTCACGGTATTGATCGATCAGTTAATCAGATTCATAACTACGGTTAATAACTTCTGAAATGCCCACATTTCAGGCGTATTGCACAGCCCCTGCCTCTAGTAACATTAAGAGGCAGTTTACGCAGACCACAGTCCCAGGATATTTGAATTCGTGCAAAGCCAGTGTACATCGCATCATTGTAATTGCAATCGGAATCTCTTGCTCGTCAGGAACAATGATTAAACTGCGGGTATCCCTGGTGAGCATGAAATTGCACCAGCGAATAAAATCACGCGATATGCATCTAACATTGCAAGTGTTCAAATACCACAGAAAAGCAGCGTTCTTAAATACTCTCTCCCCCAGGCAATAGGAGCAAGGGAGTTTCGCAAAATGCCGTGATATTTGGTCCTGGAGTAATAGTGTCTGTCATCAATCTGGCATATGAAGCCATAATTTTGAGAATTAATAAATCACATTAGCATACTTCTTTTTTCCTACAGTTTTCAACGGAACATTTATTTACATAAATGTTTTCGCTACACGTCTTCTGAAACCGGCAATCGCGATCGATGTGATTACTGACCGCGATGTCCGGCAACATTCCTTTTGGGGTAGGCACAGGCTTATTGCATATCGGGCAAACGGGTACGCGGACATCCTAAAACACTGACATATCCACGCTGTAATCAAAACAAGTATTAAATGTACCTGTAGTCCTGCACCATTACAATTATGCAAATTTGGCTTTACGTGATCTTTGCTGAAACACAACAGATACATGATATACAAACAACAAAATGAAATTGGCAAACAACATCTGCACTAAGTCTAGAAACTGACAGTGAATTTCGAGCTTCAGTGACATTTTTTAATTGTACTTTGAATTTCTTTCTATTTTTTGCTTAAAAATTTGAAGTTGCTGGACACCAAGGAGAATATAACTGTGTGAAAAATGAAATAACCATGAATAAGAAATAAACGAAACGCTTTAAATCGCGAAGAAAATTTTTAACGGTAAAGCGATATGAAGGCAATCATGAATAGATAAGCATAGAACTATAGCAATCATGCTCTGTTATAACCAGGTTCATAAAAAATCAATGTAACACTATCGAAATAGCAAACCTGCTCACACTTTCAAGAAATAAAAATAAAAAATTTAAAAAAAGCTCATTTCTAAATAAATTTTTAAAATAAGATTTCAGCTGGGTGAGCGTCCTGATAACTTGGTTCATAGATCAAGCATGCAGAATCAAAGACAAATTATGGTCGAAGAAACCGAAACTTCTTATTATCCTTTAAGGATTCTGAAGTTGTTGTTGATCCAATGAA